ACAGTGGTGACATGGTGGATAGTATTGATACATGGTGGATATTGATATGATCATGTTCAAGACCAMAACAGATGGTGACAGTATTATTACTAGTACTAGTATGAACTTTAAGGATAGTAGGATAGGGACCTTTGCAAACAAGGTCTACTAGWTTGCTATTTTAGTCATATCTTGTGAAAAATAAAACTCAATTGACTTCAAAGTTCTCTTTGGTTTGCTTGCAATTAGCCCTGAGGAGGTGATCATCAATTTTTGCTTGTCTATGTTTTGTAAGTATACTACTATGACTAGTAGGTAGTAGTAGTAATGATGTCAGCATCAAAAGGGATGTTGAGGTGCACAACTGGATTGAAAACCAAATGACTTGGCAATTGTTTTGTGAGATGATTCAATGATAGTTCTATTTGTAGTGGGTCTAAGGGGCAAGATGTTGATGGGCTTAATACCTGTATTATGAAGAGGAAATTGAAAGTTATGACCATTGAATCAAGGACCATGATTGGTGACCATACAAAAAGCAACAGGGTGTCAAAAAAGCCAACAATTTGAAGAGATAGCTGATATTTTGTTGTTTTGGGGGGACCAATGATGCAAATTATTTCAATGAGGTTGGTAACAGGATCAATGGAGATGAGGACCATGGTATTGATTTTTCTGTCCAAGTAAGAAGGTTGATGCAGTGAAAATGTAGTTTGAACCATTGGATGAGAGGAGCTGTTTGCTGGACAGATTTCACTAAGAGCTTGCTACAAATGATCAAGTAGGTAGCATGGACTCTGCTCATGTACTAGTGCTACTAGCTACTAGTATTAGTGGTAGTAGTAATATTTACTACCTAGTAGTAGTAGTAGTGTTTTGGGCATTCTGTTTCCTTGATGATGATGCTGTACATTGAAACAACAACTAGTAGTACTATGAGGAGAAACAATAGTTAAGAAGCATGCCAGATTATATKATTGAACTTCTGACTGCTGGTCATTTATTTCCCCACCACCAGCAGCTCAAAGGAGCAGGGTATTATTGGTGGATGCTGCAACGGCAAGAAGAACCAAGAAGAAGAGAAACATTTTGTCTTTCTTACATTGTTGCTGATGAGGGGAGGATTAAGCTACTAGTAGTATGAATGCAACAAGGAGGAGGAGGAGGATGACAGACCTGGATACAGGACGATGATTAGGATACAAAGGGCATTGTCAGATCTCAAATTGAGAGTTTGTCAACTACACAAGTAACAAACATACCAGTATGTAGTAGCTTGGTAAAACAAGAACCAGCAATAGAAAGTTTGTTCTGCAAAGAGTATCGGTCCCATGAGCATGCTGGTGGTCACGCGAGCCCAACAACAAGCAGCATAGATAAGAACACCAAGCTGGCCAGTACCCTTTGGATGTTCCAGATCAAGTCCCAGGTTGGATGTCCAGAAGTCCAACCTGACAGATTCATATTCATTTACCATTCAATATTCTTCTAATTTCCAAATTGTCTAAATACTACATACCTATACCTTCACTCACGTAATTGGTGCACATTCTACTGATATGGTACGTATGGTACTAGACAAGAGAGTGGTATGAGTACTYGTACTAGTAGTACTAGTATCCCCCTGTACAAGTCAGATGAAAGTTGAAAGTCATACTTAACTTTTTCTTTCCTGCTGCTACTACTACACTAYTCTACTTATTAGTACATCCCTCTTGTCACTGTAAAAAATGATATAAGAATATATTTTAACAAATATAAATGTAAATATTCATTTATAGTAGAACATCACTACTACACCTGGTGGTTGAAGTTACTCCAATGCTCTTTACATAGAGCAACATTGCAACTTCTGCAACCATTCCTTGAAATTTTCATTTCATTGTCATTGTCATGTTMTTCTTTGTTGTCATTGTCGAACATGAAGATTGAGTCCTGGCAAAGATAGTCCAGCTCATCTTGTTCCAGATCAGATCAATCAGATAGTTCATGGTCAAGGARTTCTTGGATCTCATCAAAGGACACATCAGAGTAGGTAGAAACACTTCCAAGAGAACCTATACCGTCACCACTGAGAACACTTCCATCCTCTTGGGAAGGATTGCTGGGTGGGTCTGTACCAAAAYGATCATCAGATAGGTTTGCATTACTACTGCCTGAACAATTGTTGTCATCATAAAAAGAATCATTATCATCCATCATGGTGATATGATAATTTAAAGTTGGTGGTGCTTAGGACTGTTTGTGTGATAGTTCATAGTGTTTTGGTTTAGAGTGTTTTGTGTTCTCTTTTAGTCTTGTTAGAAAAGTGGTTTCATAGTTGTCTCATAATTCTTTCTTTGTTTTATACTCGTTTCTTTATTTCAGTCTTATTTTGTGTASAATTTGTACTGCATTCTACACAGTTTGAGATAGGTTCTCTCTTAAGAATCATGAAAAGTAAAAAAAACCAAAATTGTGCAATTGGGGTCGTGGAGTTACAAAAAAGTTGACTCCCATTTCCCATCTGCTACTATTCATTCCGTGCAATTTGCCCTAGTGCCGTTCTAAAAACATAAGAGCCCGAAGCTGTTCAGTTTACTCTACTACTTGATTACAATTCATGTACTAGTAGTACTAATACCCTGATATGGCTTAACAACTACAAGTACAACAGTAGCTTAATTTGGTACAAGCAGTACTTCTGTGATACTTTAATTAATTATATTACTGTATTACTTTTATGAAGTACTTCATATTACAGTGACAAACTTTGTTAAGTACCCTTTTGGGTCCAAAATAGGACATGACAGCTTTTTAACAGTATTAATTTAAAGTGCTTTACGCGTGGAACAATAGTCTTAATTCCAAACAGCAAGGGCAAAATGTCACATATTAAAAGGAAACTATTTTATATCAAAGGATTTTCTATTTCAGAGGATTTCAGAGGTTTTTTTCTTCACTTTTTGAGAATTTGGATCAGTGAAACGAAATTGATTTCCAGACACTGCTATTAACATTGAATAAAATCAGAATTGAAATTATTTTCAAGAACAGAATTCTCTTTACTAACATAAAATGCTTCTTACTACTGGGGAGCTAAGGCGGTAACTACTGGAAAGCTGCTCTTACACTTCAGCAACTTCACCAACTACAGGATCAGCACCATCAACTAATCCTTTGACTCCCTCCAGTRCCTCAATAGGCATATTGGAAGCCACTCTCTCTTCTTCAGTCAAGCTTGCAATGAAGGACACTGCTTGGTTATTCAATCTCCCCTCTCTCTCTCCCTTCCATATGCATGCTTCCTGATTGTTATCTCCTCATCCTCTTTCAGTCTCTGCAACAGAGCATCCTCAACATCAGTCCAAGAAGCTGATGGAGGTTTGGGAACATTCTTCACTTTCATCTGCATATCCAACAGCTTGTCTTTCTTTGCAGGGATTTTCTTTTGCTGCTTCCACTGGTACAAAACCTTCAGAGTAGAAACTGGGAGGGTCTTTGCGTCTTCCTCCTTCTCAACATCTTTTCCCTTTGAAGCAAAATTCTCAATCAAACCATGAGCTTTGCTACTCAAACCTTCTGCTGCTTTTCTAGCCTTCCTCTGTGCTTYCAAGTGTTTAATCTCRTCCAATTGTCTGGTTCTTTCCTTGTTGGCAATAAAATAATCCTTTGTGTTCAGTGTATCTCTGCCAGTTGTGACRAAGTGCTGGCTAGAATATTTAACACCTGCAATTGCATCACGCTGAGCCCTCATATTTGGTTCTGTCACTTGTTGTACCAACTGCTTACTCTTTCATGGTGCATATTTGCAAAAAACTTCCCCTTTAAAATCAGCATTGTTCAATACTTTAATTGCTGCWGAATTMTTTTTCTTGTGTGCTACCAGTGCAGCTATGTTGGGATTGGTTSCTAGATCAATGGAGCCATCCAGCARAAGGATCAGTTCTTGTTACACTTTTTCATCCTCTAGGCATTTGCGGGTGAAAGGTGCAATTCCRATGGTTCTCCATATGTCTTTGCATCAGTCTATCAAAAAAGCCTCAKCAAAGGCAAAATCACAAGCTATGTTCTCATTCCAGCCATCACACTTACCAAAAACTAACWGCAGATAAATAGACTGCCAAAGATTATTGTTTTTCATGCGGCGGTGGTGTGCAATTTTTTCCAGATTTTTTTGGTAAAGGGTTTTGAAATAACCATAATTCCAATTGGTTGGCTGTGTAACATATGTTGTATTGGGTACCCCAGGATGAAGAAGAAAACTCAGAGCTGCAAGGCTTGCCAATAATGCTTTGTTGTTACTTCCTGGTCCACTGTCAACAATCAACATAACCCACTTGCCTAGCAAATCTGCAGCATCTGGATAAAGCTTAACAATTGCATCCAATAYGTACTTTTCAAACTCTTCCCTGTCCATTCCTGCATTCATGTTGCAATTAACTGTAGCTCCATTGCTTGTGATACAATCRCCACTGTATTTTCCCTTTGTGTTTTGAACACCTTTGACAAATAATTCTTGGATTYGCTTCTTCTCCTCTTTGGTAGCATTTGATTTYAATTGGAAGTTTTTTTKAATTTTTGGTGCGCAGAGAAATCAAGAAGCCCAAAAAGGTTCTCTAGCAAGAAACCAATACAATTTGCACATGTATTGAAAGACAAAAGAGAAAACCCTTTCCGACTGATGGATTCTCTAATTCTGATTGGTGCTTTGCTAGCTTTAAGAAACAAGCAAAGACAGCTAAAAACTGGCGTTTAATTGTACTCATAACCTGTTCATAATCAATAGTCTTATTTCGAACTCAAACAAAGTACCGTATGTTGATTTTTACTTGTACTAAGTACAGTACCGTATCGAACAGATAGTCTCTGATGTCTGATGAAAGCAATGTATTCCGAAAACAGCGTTACTGTAGCGTACCAGGTACCGTACAGTATTGTTGTTGATTTTTGATTTTTCGATCGCTCATACGGGTACGTACAAGTACCCAGGCAGCACAGCGTGGCTACTCTTACAGGTAGTGACGGTTAATTTTAAGTTACGCAATAGACCAACTCATTCCCCGCAATTCATCGCCTCTTCCATGGACAAAGACTAGGGATATAAGAATAGCGAAGGGATGGCGATAACTGATGGCGAAGAAAAACCGGTCAACAATGACGAAACCGCGATCCTTGTTGAAGCCGATGTAAAGGGGAAGACGTTTCGCAAAAGGCGTTTGAGTCTTACGAATTTGCGACAACTTGCCGAGGAGAGTGGCGACGACRAAAACTCTAGCAGTGAAACCCTTGAAGCTTCCGAATCGGAGCTTCAACAAGAYGAACAGGATAAGGCACATAYATTTCGAAAACGCCGTCTATCGCTGACGCAAAAGGTAAACGAGGAAATCGATTCGCCTTGTCGTTCGAAACGACCTCGCTTAGCAGCAGATGTTTCTGCCTCCGGTTTAGGTTCTGCTCTCAACCAAAAGAGCTTGGACACCAACCTGCAATCCAAGATCTTACATGCAACTGAGATATTTTCGCCAGCATCACCAAGTAATGAATCCTCTTTACCAAAATTTTACCAGAAATCTGCACGCCATCAACTCCAAAGCGAAGATGAATACGACCATAAAACACCGAAGTGGAAAAAACGCCACATTCGATCGCATGCCGAAGATGACAAGAGTCTCCCATTCTCTCGAGACCTCGTTGGAACTTTTTCATGCCATGGTGTGGAACCCATTTACGAAGATGACGAATTTTATCGTTTCTTAGACGACGAAGACGGCAGTACCGACAACCCAAGCAGTTTCTCAAGGAAAAGAGCAACTGTAGCTGCAAAGATAAACCAAGATAGAGGTGGAGTGGCGTTTCCGTACGGAAATTGTAGCAAAACTGCGCTTTTTTCTGTTTATGATGGTACGTCTACACATACAACTCATGGACGCACAATCGGCGATTGGCCAATTGGAATTTACTCATGTACTCACACAATATTTTCTGGTGTTTTTAAATCAATGCCAAAGGTCATGGTCAAGGTGGCGAATTAGTATCTCAATATTCCTTGCACGAAATACAGCGTCTTCTCGAAAAACATCCCGATTTTAATGGAAATATTGAAAAAGCCTTCAAAGAAACTTTTTTAAGAGTTGATTCTTCACTCAAAGAAGAATGTTTGATTGATCCAACGTATGCTGGATCAACTGCGTGTGTAGCTTTGCTGAGAGATAAGACATTGGTGTTGTCTAACGCTGGAGATTCTCGTGCTGTTTTGGGGCGAAAAACCGAGCGCCAGAGAGAAATTTGTTGGGAGGCGATTGATGTGACGGAAGATCAGAACCCAGATCTCCCCGCCGAACAAGAAAGAATAGAAAGAATGGGGGGATATGTCACCCCTGCTCCCGAACCTGGTGAGTGTGATTTAAATACGAAGTTGATGGAGAACGAAACAWWCTCTTCATTCTTAATTCTAACTTTACGAGCTTTCTGTCCTATTATATTTTATCGTTAAAACCGACAGGATTATCTAGTCGGTAAGATTATTTCTTGATCTTCCGTAATGACTACGCATACAAACCCCAATGACACTCACTCAATGCAACTTCTCATTYTATCCTACACCTTCCACTTGAATTTTTGTCAACTACTGGTACGATTAGAGTGTGGCTAGACAAAGAATGCTCTCAAATTGGATTGGCCATGGCGCGTTCGATTGGAGATCATGCTGTGAAATCTATTGGGGTGATTGCGGAGCCAGTTGTTTCTTTTCACAACGTTTGTGAAAACGACGAGTTTCTTATCTTGGCAACAGATGGTGTTTGGGAATTTATTTCATCCTCGGAAAGCGTACAACTAGTAGCTGAACACCTGCACAAGGGGGCAACGAAGGCGTGTCAAATCCTTATCGAGACCGCCGCAGCAAAGTGGCACGACGAAGAAGGTGATTACCGTGATGATATTACAGCGTTGGTCATTAGACTTCAGCACTTGTTAGAGCCGACCACAAACAAATAGATCGATTTTAAATTGTCATCAACCCAAACACTAAATTGCTTTTGCATTACCTTGGTGACCTTTCCAGTACAATTGATAGCTGTAGCTTGAAACAAAGATAGGTTTCAAAACCTTTGAGCAAGGGAGCGTGTAATAGAAAGTGTTCGTAAACTGAACTGCGGTTGACGTTGTGGGCGCCTCCGTCTCYATGTGAAAGACGGTTTTCATTTGACTGTATTTCATTCACATAGGAGAAAGTTTTTGTCGKAAAAACGACTCAAGTTATTCATGCTTTAAGTTCGTTTTCAACACGGTTAACACTTCACTTTGGCAAATGCAGTAACGGATGTAGTGTTTATCTGATTAACGTAGAGCTAAACGTTAGTGCTATCTTCGACARTAAAAGTTCAAAGCTTTTGACAACAACATTCAACACGCTCTTTCACGCCGTGACGTTTGTATGTAACACAAATTTACTCAGCTGTGTTTGGCTGACGGGTAAGAGCCAAAATACGTTCCCAAGTTCTTCCGTGAGGGTTCATAGATCGAGGGGAAGTAGAAACTAACTCAGGAATAGGTAGGAAAACCATGCGATTATTACAGAGACCAACAGAGAAACCAGTAAAACCTGCCATCGCTCCATGAACGGCGTTCTGTCCTAACTGCATGCAGTCTGAATAAGACAAGGTAGGAGATGTGAGATATGGCAATTTTAGTTAGCAAAATGGTCGCTCATATCGAAGATTGAATACTTACAGAGACTATCTTGAGCATTCGCAGGTACCGAGCGGACAGTATAAGACGGATCAATATATTTTACGGTCGCTGTCGCGCCGTTTTCCTTAAAGTATTCTTCCACCTGTTTTTTCATAAAGTCTCCGATTGGAGGAAGCTTCTTGTTTCCACCGGCATCTGTTTCGGCTGAGGTTCCAAGAAGTTCTTCACCAGCACCTTCTGCGACAACAATCACTGCATATCCTTGATCTTTTACACGTCGCATTATATGAGGGAGGCATCCTTGCTCTCCTGTGAGAACAATTGGGACCTCGGGCACTAGACACAAGTCGACATCTCCGGAAGCCATTGTAGCATGTGCAGCAATGAACCCTGCAGAACGTCCCATCAACTTGACAATACCGATTCCGTTCGGCATATTGCAAATGGCTTCAATCTTCGCGGATCGGATCGCAACTTGCGCAGCTTCAACGGCACTTTCAAAACCAAAAGAACGATCAATGTAATCAACATCATTATCAATGGTCTTCGGGATTCCAGCAACTGCGACGTTCATTCCCTTTTGTGATAGGAAAAAGAGAATGAGTCAAATCTGGGAGAACTCAATGTCCTAAAAAGTTGTCGCAATTTTACGAACACGCGATTTACTTACTTTTTCCATGCATCCTTCATGAATTCCTGTGATATTTTAGTAACGGGATTTGCAAGGTGAGTAAGGGGTGAAAAAGACCAATRACAAACCTCCATGATTCTATCCACTTACTGAATGCTCCACGGTGAGTCCCGTCGCCACCAATTACAAATAAGCAGGTGATTTTCTTGCTCTTCAAAAARTCCAAAATTTTTTCAAGGTCAAATCCACCTCTAGAAGAACCCAATACAGTTCCACCTTCGTGATGTATATTGGCGACTAGATCAGGGGTCAATTGGACTGGTCTGTAATTATCAAAGTCCCAAAACCCTCGGTATCCGCCTTGGATTCCCCATACCACTCCACCAATGCCATACGAAGAATAAAGTGTATTCACGATCTCGCGAACGACATTATTCAACCCTGGACACAGTCCTCCACAGGTAACAATGGCCGCATTTGTGTTTCTTGGATCGAAATGGAGTTCTTTRCGTGGTCCTGCTCTAACGTAGGCGCGAGAATAAGTTTGTTGGTTTGGCTTCCGTACAATTTCTCCCAAAATGCATTCATGGTTTGTTATAAGCTTGTTGAATTCTGTGGGTTTGGTGGATTCCTTGTGGGCAGCTAGGGTCTTCTTCTCCAAAGATGGGAAATAGTAYGGGTTCTCGTTGGGACTAGGAATGTTTTTCATCACRTTGTGAACGTTGCATGGACTGAATCGTTTCTTGAGGTCCTCGCATTCCCACAGATAGACTTTATCAATGGTTACATCGGCAATTAATTTACCCTTTGGTTCGCCAGTGAGTTCACGTGCTGCGATGGTCTTCTCCTTCAGCATCAGTTCACGATCATAGGCTTTCTTCTTCTCCAGAAGAACCTTTTTCTCTGCTTCCTTCGCGGCAACGTAGTAAGAGAAAGCTGCAGTCAACGAACATGCAAGCCCAATAGTGACGACATTGGGAAAATTGGATGAGTTTGACATGGTGTCGAACAATCGATATCGAAATGTATTTTTGGAAGTCTTTTYGTGAGAGAGGGAATTATTTTGTGAATCGATCTCCGCAGCGCTCCACAGAATAAAAGCTACGCATTTACAGTAATGTGCGGACGCGATAGTACAGAATTACTGTACTGTATTTCCTTCCAGAAAGAATTTTAGGATGGGTCACACAGTCATTCCCAAATTCCAATTTAAATTTTTCCCATCTCCGCCCAAATTGTGCATTTTTGGATTTTTTTTGGAGTTTCCATGATTTTCACCTGTGTAGACTGCATTACAAATCACAAATCCTACACAAAATAAGATTGAAATACCAAAAAGAATTTTACACAATTACTTTATAGTCAAACACCTTTTCTGCTCATTCATTTCTCTCCTTGTAATATCCAAGCAAGAAAATATAAAACACTCCAAACTAGAATAAAACTATCACCCAAACCATCATATTGGGTGATTCCTGTTAATCTAGATGGTCTACTTTTTGACAGACAGACAGACAGACCAAAAATAGACTTTCTAGTCCAAATTTTTAGACTTTCTGTCAATGCACGATCCACCCTTGACAGAAAGTCTAAATCTAGACCGGAATCCAAGAATGAAAATCCGTTGTAGGACTCAACTGAAAAGACCCGCCAAATTTAAGACAAAAGAATTTAATTAAAAATTAGTAGGCGCCGGCGCCAGTATTTTGTCATAAAGCGAACAACAGCAATAACCATGTCCCCTGTCTTAGTCACTGCTCTTCTTTATCTTCGATTGAAACAAAGAGAGCACCAACTGCTGGAGGCGCTGTCGGCGGGGGAATTCCCTCACACAATATTCATTCCGCGAGCAAAGATGTTGGCTCCTATGCGCACTGGTCCTTATGATACTATCCCTCCATGCAATGGGGGACGCTTTCCTCCCGTGGCCGCACCAGTCCCTCCCCCGGGCGGTGTCCCTCCCCCAGGAGGTCAATCAAAAGTAGAGGGGTCTGGTCGTAAGCCTGGTACTGCAAACTACTCAGAAGCAGAGCTCGTCTCATTGATGACTCTCATCAAGGAGATCCTTCCCATTGGTAAGGGAGACTGGCTCATGGTGGTTCACAGACATGGACAAGACTGGCCCTATGGAAGAACAAAGGATTCCATTAAAACCAAGTTCAATCGCTTGAGGAGAATGAAGGTGCCTACTGGGAACCCCAACATCCCTGAGTCTGTCGTACGCCTTGCAAGAGAGGCCCACCGGTTGATTGGAATCAAGGCAAATATTGGAACAGGAGAGGAGACCTTTGATCCAGTCAAAGGTTACATCGATAATGAGGATGATGAGGACTTGGATGAGGACTTGGGCTTGCAGTACGCTTTGACTCCAGCAAAAGCAAGCAAATCGATTAAAACAGCATCCACTGCCGACTCCACTGCCATTGCCGATGACAAACAACAAGGGCCCATTGTTGTGACAGCAACACCAAGAAAGAGATCTTATGGAAGACTGAAGAAGGAAATTGCTGAACAGGATGCTGTTCTTCAGGATTATCTCTTGCAACAGGATAAGAGGGAAGCTGAAAGAGACAAGAAGGCTGCTGAGATGGAAGCTGAAAGAGCAAACCGTGCTGCTGAAATGGAAGCTGAAAGAGCCAAACGCGCTGCTGAAATGGAAGCCGCAAGGGTGAAACGGGAGGACGCGAGAGACCAACGTTGGCTTACCATGGCTGAAACTATTGCCTCAACAGTTGCATTGGCGATCACTGGTAACAAGCGCCAACGCACTGATGATACTGATAGTGAATAATCCCAGCAAATCCCATGGTGATAGCAACTAATGCGATCTTCTCGTTAGCGATGATTAACGATTACACGCTTACACGCTTACACGGTTACACGGTTACACAGTTACACGGTTACGATTCAGCAAAATAATGAGCTCATTGATTAGCAATTAGTTCTTTCTTCCTACGCGTTACATCGTGTTGTTCCAAATTTTTACCGTAGTTTCCTGTGGTGCTAGTAGTATCAGTTTTCTTGCATACCTTTTGTGGGAGTGATGGGTTTTCATGCATACCCTTCGTGGGATCCGTTGTAACCGGAATATACTGCAATGAAGACAAATATATTAAGCGCAAAGACGGCGTAGAAATATATAATGTAATGAAGATGATGTATGATGCAACCAATGTATGTGGGTGCCGATCAGTGCACGTGAGTGCCGATCAATGCATGTGATTTGAAAGCGAACCCCCAGTTCGTGGGATTACAACGCACGTGCTCAGTATTTCTAATCCCGGTTTCATCGGTACTATCAGCAAAATAGGGAACAACACGGTATAACGCGTAGTAGCTAAGAAAGAACTAATTGCTCATCGATGAGCTCAATACAGTATCGGTCACTAATTCACTTTCACTACCAGTTGCAACACCGTGTGCTAGGTTGAACTAAACAGACCTCAACCAAACTAACCAACCTTCCTCCCCCACCATGGCGGACGCCGTCACTCCTGTAAGTTCGTGTTGCGTTGCATTGCATTGAATTGATATGTGTTGCGTTGCTGCGTGGAATCAATACGCGTTGCATTGAATCGATACGCAAAACGCGTTGCATTGAATCGATACGTGAAACGTGAAGTGTATCGATAATCGATGTTGCGTTTAACAAATCTAACAAGCTGCTGTGTTTATCCAACTTGACCATGGGAATTATTCACAGAATACATTGTTTCCAACTGGTGACACCTTCCTCCCTGCATGGAAATACCCATCAGCCAATGCCTTAAGCCTATGAGGAGCCTCCATCGCGTCGAGGGTCGCCGGCGGCGTCTTCATGAAGACTGTCAAGATCTGGTTGTGTCCAATGGTACTGCACTGGTAGTTGTACAAGCAGATCATTAAGTGAATGATCACCTTCCTTTCCCCAAAGTCCTCCAATCTAAGCCTATCCTTCATCCTTGGGAACTGTCCTTGGATCATCCTCATTCCCCACTCCGACATCTGTCGAAGTGACGTGGCGTCCCTATTCAATAGGAGCTGTTCTCCCTCACCCTCTGGATCATTCTGAGAGCTCTGAATCAGATAGTCTCTGCCCAACAAGCCAAATGCTGAATCAACAACACACTTTGCTCCTCCAGCAAGAGCGCTGTCCACTTCGGCAAGCTTGTTGTAGACTCCATAGTCACTGATGGCGCTGTCATGCCACGTGCCAGGGCAATTGAAGACTCCAATCCAAATCCTACCATCCGGTGCAAAGACAAACACCCCATTCACGTAAGTATTTGCCTTCCATCCGT